AATCCATTGTTAACGATGTGGTACAATGGTCGACCCTGAGCGAGGAATAGTGACCCCCCTTACAAAAAACTTTTTTTTGTAATTATTCAATTTATTCATATTTTGATCGCATTTCATTCAAAGGAATGTTCGTATTGTGTACATTCATATTTTAAAATTTCGAATTAAAAAAAGTGTTCGGACTGAAATTTGCCTTTCATCGGTAATAATTCTGGATCCGCCTGCTACGAGGACCTCATCACAAGAACAGCACCCTTTTGCCGTCCTTCGTTGCGTCAACTGTGTCCAAAAATTGCCCAGCGCTCGACACTCGATCTCTCACATCACACTGGCATTAAACGTCGTATCAGACACTTGAAATATCATGACGTGGCTTCGAATGACGCGCCACATGGTCTAGCTGGTAAAAAGTGGTATGAAGTGGATGTCAATGTCAAAGATCCTTGAAAAATAAATTTTGTTTGATCTTTTTAACAAACTGTAATTATTCTCACAATTAAAAACTCAGGTGGAAAGATTACAGATCATGTTAACCCAGTTATCAACTACATGCTTTAGTACTTTCAGCCTCTCTTTGCATTGCCGCCTCTGTCGATCACACACACGGCCACAAGACATCCAGTGACTTCCAGTCGCTTAAATGAAATAGCCAGCTAAACGTGATCAAACACTTTGAAGATATACCTTATTTGCGTCTTTTAAAGAAGGAAAGTCGATTTTTAACACGGATTTTTTTTTGTATAATAAAGTTGAGTAATAGTGATTTTATTTTTGAGTAACCGTAACATCAGAATTCATTTATTCAGCTTAGTTTTCACATACAGCTAACACAGATTCATACTAAGCATTTCCACCTTCTCCCATTCGAAAGTTCATCTCCTCCTAATACGTAATCCTCTCCGTTAATTTCTTTATCAATTTCCCTTCTTCTTTTGCACACCGTCCCGTTTACATCCTCATCGGTTTTACAAATTTTGAAGTCTAGCCTATGCTCTTCCATCATTTATTCACCATTATTCACTCTTCTCTCCCATTAGGTATCCTCGTACCATAGACTAAGTACAAGAGTTCTATGCTCGTACACTTAGAACACAGTTGACAACGCTGCATGTCGTTTTTTGAGGTAGCTACATCTGTATCTTGTAACGCCATAGAGCAAATGCCGAAATGTCTTGTTTCTGGGCAGTGAATGTAGCTCTTCTTCTCATTTCACGTTTTGGCGTTCTCAGTTAAATAAATTCTGCATGTACAAAAATAGCTACCCCAAATATTTATAACACCCATCGCAATATTTTTCAAAACCTTTTCATTTTAGTATTGCAATAGAGTATTATCCAAGACGCATTCAGAATTACTACCTAGTCTGGACTTGGCCTTGTGAAAACAAATTTTCCTTTCTTAGATATACTTTTACTGCCAGGAACTATTAAATGAATTTTCCTGCTCTCTCCACATTTAACTTAATAACTCTACAATAATTTCAAAAGATATTGTTTCGGTGACTGGTGTAAATTCCCTTTTCCCCCATTGATAGGGAAAACTTCAGAGCTGAGTTTTCTAACAAGTTTATCATAGTATATGTTACAATGTTAATCTTTATTGCATAACTAAAGGAGTTAAAAAAAATAATATGAACATCTGACATAATAAATATTCATTTATTAATAAGGTTTTCGACCACCACTTGATTTTAGAATACCTGCAATTCATCGCGGATTAGATTTGTAGAGTGTATGAATAGATTACGTAGAATGTAGATTACGACTAATAAGTCATTTTTTACCGTTTTACGTCATTTGTAATGTATTTTTCGCTGATTTCGTCGATTTTAATAGTACTTGCTTCAAACAATATTTACGAGGTGCCACAAATGTTCACCACAGAATTCCTGAGTAAGCTATTCAATTTCTTCGCTCGTATATTGTAATGTCAGCTGTTGTGAGTACTAAGTAATGTAAGGTTCGTGTGACATTTCTCGGCGCAATTTTCAGTTCGGCCGATTTATCGATAAAGAAAGGCAGCGATTTTATTTCAAAGCACTGTCCAAATCCTAAGTTTTGAAGCTGAGTTCTCTTGAACAAAAGGAAGAAGCATCGATTACATTAGTAACATATCCAACAGATTGAGTTGTTCATCTGAAATAGTTTTGATCAAATTTTTTACGTCATTATTACGCTTTTAGGGCATTTTAAGTGCATTTTATTTATCATTTTGGCAATGTTTTAGGTCATCAAAATCCGCCCCCTAGTGATGACGCTATTATTCATGCCAAAAACGACTAATACGTCATAGTATTTGCCATAAAATGACATTTTATGAACGATCACTTGCAAAGGAAAATGTCGTTTATATTGGTATAAAAATATTTGTACAAATGTGCTAGTAAACTTTAGCTCATCAATGTGTACAAATGTCGAGTAGGGCAATCAGTTTTATCTTTCCTTGCCTAAAGATATTCTTATGCATTTACTTTCCGATTTTCTATCGCAGTTCATTTTAGTTATCAAATAAGTATTAAAAAAGGTAAATAACGATTAAGTATAACAATAAATCCACGCCAGATAACAATTTAAGAAATCCAAAATGAAACGCCGCAAGCTCTTCTTAAGCCGCAGATGTTTTTTTTCTGTTTACGTAACGAAGCATCGGGCAAAAGGCGATAGAGGTCAAGACACTCGATGGAACTATCTAAGGACACGTAAGTCTTCTGCAAAAGGCATTCACCGATAAAGGAAGTTCACTGATAAAGGAAGTTCAAAAATAAAATCGCCGTCTGTGATCAGGAGAGGAAGTTATTTGTTCATTATTACTTTACAGATAGTTGAGATAAGTTTCGTTTAGTTTACGACACACTTTTCGTCTAAGTTTCGTTTACTAAATGAAGCACTTTATTTCAAGTAATCATTTTTCTTTTAAGAGTGTTCGGTGTTATGCAATTTTTATACTGGGACAGTATAATAGGATTTCGTTTAACTGATTAGTGATTCCGAGCCCATCAACTGCTAAGGTCATTAGTCCCATACGTGTAGTGCATGTTTTATCGCAGGAGGCGGTGGTGAGTTTTCCCCCTGCATGGTGAAATCTAGCGTCGACCTACCCGTCTGCTTGGTTTTTTCCCCTATCACGAATCTGCCGTCAGCAGGGCACCGCCCTAGTCGAGACAGGCTCAAACTCTTGATTGGCCTCCCGGCACGTGTGGTAGTGTAGTGCATGTTTAAGTGTAAGTCAGGGGTTGGGATATAACCAGGAATAGGAAGGAAAGTTCGCACGCGCTTCGTGACACGTTTGTTAGGGTACTGCTCCGGCATTCGCCTGATGTTGATCGGAGAAACCACGGAAAGCTAACGATCAGAGCAGCCGGCGGCTAGAATTATCTTCCAGACAGATGCTGAATTCGACCAAGTTATGTAGCTAGGTCGAAATTCTACCACCGTCGAGACTCGAACCCCAGGAGCTCCTGGTCAAAGGCACTGGAATGACATCAATGATGCCCTAAGCAACGTAGACCGCTCTTGAAGAACAGAGTTTACAAAAGCAATTCTCATGCAGTAGCGGAGCTTCAACAAAACATATTGAGAGGAATCTCCGACATTACCACGAGGTCTCTAAAAGGTGAGTCACAGAATGTTTAATCGGTGCCAGGAGTGCAAAGAAGTAGGCGGCGAGCATTCCCAACCTCTGAGGGAAGCTGCGTTGAAGCACGGACGACTCTAGTAGGGACGGCCATGGCTGCAGCGACCGGCGGCGCGCTGGCCGAGGGCGGACGGCGTCACGCGGTCATTTACAGGGGAATCGAGGGTCTGTCACCCGAGCACTCGAAACGACCTAATCGGTCAGTTCTTGAGTAGACACCCGTTAGTAACCGTTCTGTGTTCTAGGTCTTTAAAAAAAGAAGTACCTATGCCAGGCGCGGATCCCCGGGGAGGGAAATGATGAAAGTCTACCCCGTAACATTTTAAAGTAACTATCAATTTTATCTTGTCACGAAATTTTCAAGCAGAAATATATTTCGCATAGTTATTACAACGAATCGCAGTGTGAGCTGAGTGTAATCTGCGACATTTTACAAAATCTGTAATATGGCAAATTCGACCAAATCATTTTTAATTTCACCTCCCAAAATGTGTCTCTGGATCCGCCCCTGATCCGCGCTGTATCACTAGGCCCTAAAGTCTAGTACACGTCTATCAACAAAGGCGCGGAACTTTTGGGGACAGTTGCGAGTCACTGCCACCGGTCTGTTGCGATAGAACGACCCGCGTCCACACCTATAAAAACCTTTATAGTTCAATTCCTCTCCATTCCATCCCTTGCAGTAAAAACGTAAAGGCTAGTAACCAAATCAGATTGACTTTTGGAGGGGAAGAACCACATTTTTTTCTTTTAGATTCCATAAGCTTTTTGCTCTTGACTAATTGGGATTTAATGATGTGACGGTTTTTCTCAATCTCATAAAAGGACATAGTGCAGTTTTTAGCCAGAGACTTCATTGCTTCCCTTCTTTTGCCTCCATTTTCAGACTGGGTAGACTTCTCAAAAACAAAGGAAGGAAGGAATTTTCTCAATATTTTTTAGAGTATATAAGTTCCATCGCAAAACAACATAAAACACAACAGCATATGGCGGTTATCTGCAGACTGGAACCGGCGTGTATAGAGACTTGGACTCGCGACATGTTCAGACAACATGATATTGCGCAGCATTGTATCATATAACCCATTTCGAATGGGGGACCTGCAATATACAACTTCTATATCGCGGGATAAAAATGTCGCAGGGCAGTCTTGGAACTTGTCGCGATACGTGTCTCAGGACTTTGTCGCTAGGTGTGTACCGGGCTCTAGGAAACACAGCGTTCATGCTGTGTTTCGCTGTCCCAAAGCCTTAGAAAACGTATAATCCGAACAGTGTCCTGCTATCCAAGAGCCTTAGAAAACGAATCCACTCACAACTACTCTGCACAGAAACGCACCGATTCGAAACCCAAAGTTGTTATTAATATGGCATTATCCTCTTATGCGGACGCAGATGCTCTATCTGTGTATCTACAAAAACAAATAAGCTCCCATATGGGAGGCGGGGCACCACGCCGCGGGGATTATACTACAGACTCGCCCCCACCCGACTCGCGCCGCGCCGCGCCGCTGACGTGGCGCGGCGACGCGCAGCGCAGTTGTCGTGGCGTGACCTTGACAATGAAGCCGGTTCGCTTTATATAGCGACAAAGCGCGGGAAACCTCAGTTGAGCAGAAGCCGTCTTACCGCGCAGCCACAGAGGTAAGATCGTGCGAGTGTTCTGATTTGCACGCAATGAATGCATACTTTTAGATAACGTCGGTGGACAAGAAAGGCGACATAGCTACAATGAATGCATGTTGTCGACCCTTTAACTTGAGCGGATTTGTTTATTTGTGCGTCAAAAAGTGTTTTCTCTAGGTATAAGCCATCTTAAGGAACGATCTTTACGAACTTTACTTTCTCGCCGTTACTTCGTAAGAAGAAAAAGAAATTATAATCATGCGCTGGAAACGGAAATTTTCGACACAAAAACTCGTATTGCCAGGCCCTGGTAACTAAAAAGTGGATAAATGTTATCCTTGTACGTAGTAAATTACTGCCTCTAACACATTGCATAGTCAGAATCCATGTTTTGTGGGTCCTTGATACCGAAATATCTAATAACGGCAAATCATCTGCTAGGCCGTCCGTTTTCATTGCGAGGGTCTAAACCCTTCATCGGATTTTCTCCAAAATTGAAATTCCCCGGTCCATTTGGATAAACTCGAGGCTCTCTGAATTTCAAACGAATATTTTTATTTTGGGAGGTACTTTATATGAAATCTCAACATTTTCAAATTTATTAAAAAATGGCTCCCAATATTTTGATTGAACTTTGCCGTCAGATAGCGTAAAGAGGACTTAAGAAAATGGTGTAGGTCTCATTTTCAGTAAAATCCCTGATTTTTCGAAAATTGCAAAAGTTCAAAAATGTTTGACGTTTTCCTACGACAATATTGTAGATAGGGATTTTTTCCAAATGAAATGTGTTTTTAAGTACTGGTCTTGAAATATTGTCATGTACAATTTTTATAAAAAATATGAATAATTTTCGCGTAAGTTTACCTGAAATGTAGGCATTTTTAATTTTTTTTTCTAAAAAACGGCTCTATTTTTTCTTATGCCTATTAATAGGAAGCAAAAAAGCGGTGCTTGTTTCATCTTAAGCGAACTCTCTATTTTCGAAAATTGCAAAAATTTAACTTTTCCAAATTATAAAATAGAAGATATATTTGTCTTAGACAAAAGTGTTCTAAAAATCAGTTATTTAAAAATAGAACATAGCAAATTTTGGAAAAAGTAGTTTTTGCGCAAGTAGTGCTTTATTTAATGCAATTTATAAATACATGTCAAAAACCGCTCCAAATGTTTTTTAATAAATTATTTCCATGTACAGAACAACGCTTCTAAGAATGGTGCAAGTCTCATTTTCGATGAACTCACTGTATTTGTGAATATTGCAAAAGTTGTATCAAACGCGAGAAGGCATGTGATGTCCTATCACCACTACTTACGAGTAAAACACAAACACATACCTCATTTAATTCCAAACTTGGTAAATTTTCAGATATGTCACTGTTCTTGTGCACCGACAATGTAGATTTTGGAATGAGCTTCTGAAAGCAATATTAAATTTAGAAGAAAGTACAAAATATTAAATTGTGTTTGTTAAAATTAATAAGCTGAAACTTACTTTCTGATTATTTTAATTTTTTTATTACAATACTCGCAGTCTTCATAGCTTTTCTGTGTTTTTACTTAATAGTTATATGATGTTATGTCTACATTTAGGATTCTTACATTTTTCTATTTTGTCAAGTCATTATTATTATTATTATTATTATTATTATTATTATTATTATTATTATTAAGTAAAAATCATCCAAATGCCCTGACTTCTATTTTACCTTATTGTATTTTCGTCACAATTTGTTTTTTTTCTGATTTTGTACTTATTGTATTCATTGTTTCTTGCGTTACACCAAACCAATATTCTGATTGGAGTTTTGACGCAGTTTTTCTCATCTCAAGTGGAAGACATAAATGTCGGGATGGTCCCTTGTTAGCGGCTTACAAGTATTAAACCTAAATTTCCGTCCTCCCTTCCGTGTCAATGTAAATTTAGATGTTGAAGAGGAATATCAGGCCTTAAGGTATTACCCTCGCTATTCAAATCAGACAATTTTGATATACTTTATTATGATTAATCTTTCATCTCAGTGTAGTAACAATTCTCAATATGCACAATTCCTTCTGAAATGTGAATTATTTAGTCAATTGAATCCATTGTCTCCAACAGCTCCCACTCCTTTAATCGTCAAGTAAATCCCTCAGAGTTCTTATGCATCAGAAAACAGCTTGGTGTGTCTGAGGTTGTCAATATCTAACTTATTAACACAAACATGCCTTGTACCTGAATTTTTGTTTGACCCCAAATACCGATTTGCTGTATTTACTAACTGGAGAGTGGCATTTTATTACAAGTACTATGAGAGATGAACGATTGATCTAAGAGACCATTTTCTGTCATAAATAATGACAATTAGATATATATTCCAAATCTTTGCTCAAAACAAAGCACGAAATTATGTTGTGTGTATTCCAGTTTAGGTTTCGCCTGTTTTGTCAGTTAATAAAAGTAAAGATAATGTACAGGTCCGACGGATAATGTGGGTATGGTGGGTAGCTGTGTCCTCTCGAAAAATTCAATGGGTAAAATACCCACTCGGAATTTGGAGTGAGAGAAATATTCAATAAACGTCAAATTCCAGGAACGAAGAAGTTTCTAGATACTGTGCATGGACCCAAAACATATATATTCAATCGACAATGTTGAAGATCGGCTCAACAGTATTGCGATTTTACATGTTTATAGCGATATGGCCGACCAAATCGATTTGCAAAACTTGTTAAAAAAGTTTATATCAAGGAATGCACTGCTCAGCGCTGCTTTTGAATTGTAAAAATGAACTGCTTAAGTTACATAAAATAAATGAGATAACAATTTAATTATGAACATGACAATTTGAAAAAAAATGTTTTGTATTTTTCCCTTCATGTACGTTTTCGGTGGGAGATGGAAGGGGGAGGACGGACACCCATCCGACTCGACGACCCACTCGGACTTAACACCATTCGTCGGCCCTGATAATGTACCATTTTAACTGCAGTCACTTCAATTGTAGATCAAATTTTGCCAAAAGTATAACATACAGACTTCAAATAATTATAGTTTTCGAAATGTTTTCCTACGATTATAGAATTGAAAATGTAATCAAGATCGTGGAATGATTCAAATATGTTCAGTTTCATAATTTGAACGAACCCTCATATTTCATTCGCATATACTTCGCGTGCTTCTTACATAATTTAATTGAAGACCATAATACAATTCGTTTGTAAAAACCTGAAATCTCTTAACAGAAATTAAATTTGTTTATTTTTAAACAAAAGTTTTTGTTCACTAACCATTTTAGACTAATTTAGGTAACAGATAAAAGTGGTATTTCTAATATTCAAAACTTCTAAAGAAAATTGTAATTTTACACCGCTATTATATCAATGCTGGTATAAAGAGCTATCGTTATATTTTTGTATAAATACCGTTATATAATGTTTGTATAAATACATAGGGTTGGCCAAGTCTCTCAGAAATAGTTTCGTTAACAAGCTATATTGATGCTTCACTTTAACTTGACCCAGGAATAAACATGCAGTGGAGGAAAGATAAACTGTGCAGTGTTTGATATTTTATCATGCTTACTCATGAGTGCGTGGCCAAGTGTTCTACATGTGTGATGAACCATTTGACTTATCTGTATTGACTTTTTCATCGTTATAATTCCAACTATTGTCTGCGTTCCGAAAATATAAGTAATTTACGTAATGTGCTTAAAAAATTCAAAACATTGAAATCTTATCTTCGAAATTCAAGCTTGTAGAGTTTCAATAATTATGAGTATGTAGACTTCCACAAACACAAATTCTACCTAATTTTCTACGTGATCAATATGATAATGCAAGAAACATTGTTTTTCCAACATCAAATATAGCATTGCTCCTTGGATTGATATAGAAAAGAGGAAGGGTATTGCAATATTTCCGAAACTTTGAGGTTGAGATTTCGGTATTAAAATACGTAATGAGGTCCAACAAGAAGAAGAAAGTGTTTTACCATGATATTAGGTTAGGTTCTTTCTACCACGCATTATATTGTGTGTGTGTGTGTGTTTGTGTGTGTGTGTGTGTGTGTGTGATACGAATAACACGGTAGATTAGAAGCTTTTCAGATCTAATCTGGAACACATGTAAGGAGTAAGGCCTATTAGTTCCGTTCCAAAGATGATTAATATTCGTGGAAGAGGGAGTTAGATAAAGCATGCTAGGCCTCCCAAAATGCTTCTGTCAAAAATGTTCATCCCTCTGTCTCAGAATTGCATATCCTTTTGATTATCCCCACATGTGTTTTATAACTGCGAAACATTTTTCTTGTCATTTCTTTGATCTACCCCTTTTTTCCCCGTCATTCATTATGAGTGGGGCTCGAAAGTTTGGCAAAATGCACTTTTGTTACTGTTACTATTGTATGACTTTTAACACTGTTACTATTGTATCACTTAATTGTACTTCTGGAGCTGTTTTAATACATTTCCATATAGCCTTTTCTGTCTATTTTAACTTCTGATGATTAATTTTACCTTTTTGTTTTATTTTTGCCTCTTTCTGCCTTTAACATCATTATTTTGCTGCTTTTTTTTTATTTTCCTGGCAGCGATCTCAATCAAGTTGGATATATACCTGCAAGTCTGGACAACACGAAATCACGGTCGTGTTTAATCTTTCTGTGGAATCATAGCTTGTGTTAAACATCTAAATTAAAAAGGAAGATTTCAGTCTATATTTCTTTTCCATTGATGCCGATAGGCTTTGTTTGCTCACAAGGAATCCCATCCTACTCTTGAGCATGGCCTCCGAAGTCTTTTGAGGAGGGCTCTATGATTTTGATAAGCTCCTACCAGCACAAGCGATTACACAAGTTCGAAAACGGAAAAATAAAATCCCGTTTTCACTGATGCCATTTGAAGATTCAAAAGGGAGTCCACGAAAGTATTTCGAAGAAACGGCGTCGGGAGTAAAACAAATTCGTAGTCATGATACTGGATGGCCATGTGAAATCAAGTTTACAAAGAAAAGATCGTTTGGGTTAAATGCTATTGCAAATTTTGGTCTTAGAACAAAAATGTGAATAACTTTCATGATTAATTTTTTACAGTTTTCCTTGTAAGTGTTGTTTTCGCTTACATACATTTTTGCACCTCTACTTTAGCTAGAAAAATGCCGCTTTTAATGCCTATTTAGTAAAAATAAATGCCTTTTTGCCTACCAATTTTAGGTATCCCAGGTTATTGTTTTCCGTAACGTGTTCGATGTTGGACCCCTTCAATTGTTGTTTCCCTTTAAATCAACCTCCTCACCTTTACTAGAAATCATCTTACTTTTCTGTATGTACTGGATGCTACATGGATATCTTTCTATCACCCAGGATTTTTTCATATATTCTAAGCACACTATTCATACCTCTTGCCATAATTCCAATCACATCCGCAAATGTCAGAAGCAATGTCCTTCATACTCTCCCCCCCCCTTCTTGCTCTTTATCCAAATACCCATCTAATCCTGTTATGTTTGTGAATTGAACAATGTTTGGCTCAAGGAGCACCCTTGTCTTAAACCTTTGTTAATCCAAAAGAATATTTACTCCTAATAAAAAAAATAGTAGGTATTAATGGTATTAGGAAAATATTTTTGAAATATTGTGTAGCTAAATAGCTATATTTATTCCAAATCAATTCAATAACAAAATTCCGCGTTTCTCAAGGGTAAGAAGAAAACTGTCAGTTTGCCACACATCCCCCGTTTTTATATCTATGTTAAGAAATATCTTCCTGTATTACTTAAATTTGGCGCCGACCCTCTGTCAATTACAAGCCTTCCTTGGGACTAACCAAATCTAATCGTGTGCCTTTTCGATTTCCTCGCTTCCGAGAGAGTTATTTTTCTTCCAAAATTGCGCACATTAGCACGAAACTAGTGGTGTCGCAACAGCACATACGCACTACTGACGCATTATTTGCAATGGCTATGCAATATACTACATGACCTTCAAAAATGTTTGCAACATTAATTTTTTCTCTGCGCCGAGATTCGAACTCGGAGTCAAGCGTATCAAGCACATTACCGCTACATCACGCAGTTCTTCGGGAATGCTCACGTTTTTTGAAGCTTAAAAACTAAAAACGTCTCTCTTATTATTCCTGACATGCATTTTTCGAAAACTCGGAAGGTTCAAAGAAAAGTAAACCTGCGCCATTTTCCTGAGCGTCGTTTGCTACATCCGTGGACACCATTTAAAGAAAAAATTCAGACTCTTTTTGAGACTACTTTTTCTTCATATAACTTGCATTAACTTCTATCAAAAATTACGTAATAACTAGCTCTTTTTTAAAAATGAATTGTTGCATGATCATTTTTAAATATCTGATTTTATTATAACAAATTTTATTGAATACAAAAATGTATATCTTTATTATTGTACTTTTGCAATGTTGATTTTTTGAAATTTTCGAAAATACAGAGAGTTTACTAAAACTGGGCCCAGCTCAATTTTTTTACATTTCTTTGATACATACGAGGCGAAAATTTAAAGATTTGGCGTCACAAATAGGGTAGTCATCTCTTCGGGTTTGATCAGGAGTCAATCAGAAGTAATCTCCGAGTTCCAGCTTAATATACAAAATCGCAAGGTTTATATCAGCAATTAATCAATTGTAAGCAATTTAGAAATTTTTTTAAAAAATTGTTAGTGAGCCATCGTCAATTAAGCTATGAAAAAGGTGTTAAAAAGTCTTAGAATTAGATTTTACGAAATATATTTAAAAAAATAATATAATCAAATATAAAAATACGTTTTCCGATATTGTGATTATGTCTAGTCACTCTAGAAGATATGCATCTTTGCTAAGTAACATTAATTTATTAATATAAAGTAAAAAATATATAATTAGAAGTACATTTTAAAAATAAAACATTCATTATGACTTAAATTTTCTCCCTCCCCCCATACAAAATCTGTGTCATGGGCTTCATAGGAATGATCCCATACCTCCAATAGCTATCGATAAGACCTGTTATTTTACGACCCGCAGTGCCCAGCAAGGGTTGTTGTTGTAATATTATTATTATTATTATTATTATTATTATTATTATTATTATTATTTTATTATTATTATTAATGAAACATGTTTCAGGTCTAATCGTCTCACAACATGTTGCCACCGACATTTGTTCCTGGATTCCACAATGAAGAAGCCGTACGAAAGATGCGATACAATGAGCTTGGCAATACCGGAATGTTGGTCTCTCATTTAGGATTCGGAGGAGGTGTCGTTAATCCTCACCTTTTTGGGTACGTTGAATTAAAACTTCACATCTTGAAAATATTTTTTGTACGTCTTTTCAATTAATAACTAACCTACTTTAATTAAAACAATATAATTAAAGTAATTAAATTACAATAATTAAATTTAATTTCAATTATAAAATTGGCAATTAAAATGTTGCGTTTCAACCATAAATTGAGTTACGCCATCGCAGACCACGACTGGTTCAATTTGCTCATCTCCTCAGTATTCCTAGAATTAATAAAATTATTTTATATTCATTTTTTACAAATCAATTTCTGTAAACAGAGATTATGATCGTGCAGAGGTCATAGCTACTGTACGCGAAGCTGTTAAAAATGGATTGAATTACATAGACACTGCTGCTTTTTATGGACAAGGAGAATCAGAAGAAGTAATTGGAGAGGTAAAATGTTTTTCTCGTTTTCACATAATTCTCGATTTAATTATTTTTTTATCAAATGATTAATGTAATAATATTTCGTTTCCCTAAGGCTTTGAAGGAAATTCCACGTCAAGCATATTACTTAGCAACTAAACTTGGTCGCTATGGCCCTCACATAGAAAATCTATTTGATTTTTCTGCAAAGAAATCTAAAGAAAGTTTCGAAAGAAGTCTTAAGTTGCTAGGTGTTGAGTACGTGGATATACTACAGGTAAAATAAAGAGACATCATTACACGAAAATAAAATTTTAAAAAATATCAATATCCTTGCCTTGCAATAAGACTTTTATTGATCAAGAATTACCATTTGTCTTTGGTATATTTTCACAGGCTCATGACATTGATTACGCTCCACCAGGCCAAGTAGTGGAAGAAACTCTTCCAACAATGGAAGGATTCGTGAAAGAAGGAAAAGTGAAATTCATTGGAATTTCAGCATATTCTCTGGATCTTCATAAAGAGACTCTCGAAAAATCAAAAGTTAAAATATCCACCGTCATCACTTTCACTAGGGACACTCTCATCGACGACTCTCTACGAGAATTCATTCCTATATTCAAGGTAAGATAAAGCTCGTTGTGACCCTTCAGTTAAAGCAAGGTGTCCGATTCTTTTATCTTCTTTCTTGTCTACTATGCCTTTACATCTTTGTATCTCTGGCATACCATGAGTATATGTTGCAAGAACCTAAAAAGTTTCCTTGTAGTAAGGTTTCACCTTTTTACGAAATTGATGAAAATATTACAACTTAAGATTGCGAAGAATCCAATTCAATAGATTCCAAGACGTTTTGCCCACGATACAAATTAGAGAGAATAGAGAATAGATCATGACAACATCGCAACGCAGAGAAGAAAACTGTCAACCAAAAATTCCGTGAAAATTGAAGCACATTCCTACGTTTATTTCGCCAGGCATGTAGCAGAATTCACCCGGCCAAAAACGATATTTTGGCTTAGATTTTTCAGATTGGCATTTCGAAATCGTTCCTGACTGGCAGCAAGGGAAGTATGTCGGTTAGTCCAGATATAGTTCGCAGACAGAGAATGTGATCCATAGGAATCATATTCATCAGGGTGTCAGTATTAACAAATGACCAAGAAATCGTAGGAATCATATTCGTATAAATCATAAGGATCATATGAACCAGGTGTCAGTATCAATAGCTCACTGCAAGAAATCCACATTTAATATTACACTTACGTTACTTTACAATTTATTGCCAGATAACATTAAACAATTAAAATGAATACCCAAGTTTCAGTGGCAAGTAAAATCTTTTCTATGGCAGTCATTCTACTCAAGACACTCAACTGATCATCAAGAGGGAAAATGTAATTTATTTAAAAAAAAATATTTAATGCATTAGTTAACATGTATGCAATAGAATTGTAGCTAGTAGTGCTACAGAATGGATAAGATTTTCTGGTACTAGTTTCTTTCATTATTCTTCATTCTGGGGTATCTTTTCGGTTTTGCATCATCGTCTTCTCAGCTAATATCTATTGGCGCCTTAAGGTTTATTTTTCACGTTTCCTCAATTTTTAGAATCCCTTTTACACGAAAACTACTTGTTTTTTTTTTTTTTTGTGTGTAAACTTTCTTAAAGAGCTGATTTTTAGAACAGATTTTGTTTAAAGCAAACATCTTCTCACCTATTGTAGTATTGTAGTTGTAAAATCGCCGAAAATATTTATACTTTTGCAATTTTCGAAAAATCGAAAATTTCAACAAAAAGTATACCTGCACCATTCTCCTTTGTCCTTTACGCTGTCCGGGGGCAAAGTTTGGTCCCAGTTTTCAGAAAATTTTGAAATGGTGGGCCTTCATTTAAGTAATCTCAAAAATCAAAATATACATTTCAAACTGACCACCTCGGGTTTCTTTAAATATCATTTTTTGAGAAAATCGGGTGAACGGTTTAGGTGCTAGCGTTGACCACAGACTGACGTTTCGCCATCAATAGAGTTTTCGGAATCAAGGATCCACGAAACGGATTGTGACTTCATAACGTGTTAGAGGAAATAATTTACTATATATTGAAACACAATTTATCTACATTTTCCTTACCAGGACCAGGCTATAAGAGCTTTTGAGCCGAAAGATCGCCGATTTCGTCGAAAACTTAAAATTTTTCGGTGAAAAAAGAGCTTCGAATTTAACCTTTTCAGTAACGCTTAAACGATTTTCTCAAAAACGGCTGCAAAGGTTTCAACCAAACTTTCTACATACGAGGACGTTTTACTTTTCAATAATATTCTTATGCCATATTTCATTTCTACCAATGGGAACAAAAAAATTGAGAAAATGTGAAAAAAATGTACTTTGGGCAGCGATAGATGGCAGGTGGGTAGAGGTGGGGCAAAACCGAAAAGCTAGCCCAGAGCAAATTAATTAGAAAATAAGTACTACAAGAAAGTCTGTACCGTTCTGCAGCACCACTAGTTTAACTAACTGCAATTCTTGTGAGATTCACGAACAGTGTTGCCCCATACAGGGCATGCATAATTAGTGCATATTTATTTTCTTAGAGCAATCATTTGATATTAAGAATCGAGTTAATAAAAATATTAGCTATTAACATACCTAGTAATGTTATGAGTGTTATTACTGATGCCAAAAGTAATTTTTGGATGAGGCAGTAAGAACACTAACATTTCGTGATATGTTCAGCATTTTATCGGTCACCATAAAATCTCACGGTTTATGCGAAAATTTACCACATTACTACAATAGTAAACAAATGAATTATGTTGCTGCAGCATATTAGTACAATACTGTGGAGTGTTGCTTGCGATATACTATCTATTTAAACAACATTCGTATACCGTGATTCGAGAATGATGGATGCAACTGATTCTCCTGAACCTAAAAATACCTAAAGAAATGATGTTCGGAGAGGAAGTTGACGCGTAGATTTCCAGTGGCGACAGTTTCGTATCGTCAGTAAATATGATTGCCGCAGAAGTGTTTTATTTAAGGGAATACCAGGAAAATGAGGTTAATGCATCTAATACATGTTTTTAATTGTACTATTAATAATATTACAATTAACAGTAATTCTCCAAAATATTAATATGAATAATAAGAAAAAAAAGAAAAAAACTTGGCATGTACAAAACAAATAAAATTCGAACAATTCAGAATAAAAGCAACTCATATTAATTGTTTAAATTTATTTATTTTATGTAGTATATACACCATAAAATAAATAACTTTTAAAACATTAATATGAGTTACTTTTATTCTGAATTGTTCGAATTTTTTTTTGTACACGCCATGTTTTTTCTTAATAAACATTTGATTTGCCATGAATCGATGGTTGTTTATTTACGTTGCTAAGGATGTTAAATTTTTCTAACATACCTGTAGGTACAAGTTCACTTCATTGGCTTGTAGTATTGCATGTTATCAGGGGTTAAAGACGCATGTGACCGATAAACTTGTTTTACCTTTGTTTCTCAGTCTCTGGGGGTGGGCGTCATCGAGGCGGCCAGTCCCTGCATGGCTCTGCTGACAAACGCTGGACCTCGAGACTGGCACCCCGCGAAGAAGGAGGTGAAGGAACTGTGCGCGAAAGCTGCCCAGTACTGCAAGGTAAGGAACCACATTTTTGGTTTAATACATGCAATATATTGTAACGTATTGCTAACGGACCTCGCTGCAGGCTTGAAGCCCGGTGCCACGCAGGCGCCGAAGTCCTAAGATTAGGGATAAAATCTTTATTTATGCTTGATTATTTTATTTCTTAAAAGCAATATTACATGTTAAAGTGTGTACAAAGAAAATCGGTATTGTCTCCTGTCTAGCAAAATATATTGAGTAGACAAATGTAACTAAATTAATTTCAACTTGTCTTATCTGAGAACACGGTTTTGGGACTTAATGAACTTCACTATGATATACGAGTATGACCTCGTATGACCTCTTAAAAGAGCCCCTACATTAGTACATATGTTTAACTGTTTGATTATGTCACGCCGCGTCTCTGGCAACTACACTTCCCTTGGAAGTACAAAGCTAGAGGTACGTTGATGTCAATTGTCTTCTTTCGTTTCAGGAGAATGGAGTGGAGCTGGCGAGATTAGCTGTAAATCACGCTCTCTCTCAAGAAGGTCCAGCGGTCCATATAGTTGGAATGCCAGATCGTAAAGTTTTAAATTCCAACCTAGACCTCTTGTACAATGGATTAACAGCAAAAGAGAAGGAAGTGTTGAAAGAAATCAACGCAAGGTACGAGTTCATAATCCTTAACACAGAATGTAATGCTATTGCTATAATTTTTAGAAGGCAATATATCAACTAAAACGTTTTGTTTCAGGTACCTTTCGAAGGTTCCAGAGAAATCTTGGGGAGATGTTGAAATTAAAGAATACTGGGCAAATATCAATGCCTTGAAGCAAAAGAAGTAGTTACTTCTTACTTTATATACATGATCTGCGAAATGTCATGCCTGTCCCATACATATTTTTTTAAATACCATAAAATATAATAAAATGCTTCATTCTTTAGTGTTATTGTATTTGTTCCCTTATTCTTGTTTCTTTTGGAAGTAAACAATATCCCACCAGCGTACATGTGCTCCATGACACATCTTAGAAGCTAGCGTTTGTTATTTTATTTTTTAAGGTAATGTTAAAGAACATAGTTATTTAAACTTTACATGTGTATTTTTTGTTACTTACAAACTTATTCTAAGCCTACATACCATACAATGGGGAGGAGTCCCCTTATGGGTCCTCTAATCTGGTTCTATGCTTGCAAATTTGCTTTGGATACATGTAATGGATATTTATTTTGGATTCTGATTATATGGAATGGATTTTTTTTTGAGTAAATTCGGAGAGTGCTTTGTCTAAGATGAATGCTATGATAGAACTTTGTGACAAGGTATGATGTAATGATCTAATAGTTCTATATTGAATTCCTTGTGAAGCTTATTATTGGAAATGAACCATGTAGTTAGCAAAGGTTCTCTGAAATTTGTTTTGATTGATTTGGAGTTTGCGGATAATTGTATTGGCGGCATTTATCCATATGGGACAGGCGTAAGTAATTGTGGGTCTTATTAAAGTTTTATATAGTGCTATGGTAGTATTGTATTGAACTGGACTGTATCTGTTTATTAACGGTTTTAACTGATGGAGTTTTTCCTTGGTTTGTAATATCTTTTATTCAATGTGGTCGTGCCATCGTGTATCGAGGTATAATCCTAAGAATTTAACTGGTTTGTTGGGAGGGTACCATTCTAAAGGAATGTTGTTTATTGTTAGCAGGGTGGGGAAGTATATGGTCTAAGTGAGAATAGCCGTTTTAGTGGGGTTTAACTGTATTTTGTACTTCGCAGCCCAGCTATCAAGTGTGTGCAGGTGTATTTGGGTTTCTGCTCTTAGGTTCGCTAATGAGTTGCCAGAGACGTACAATGCTGTGTCATCCGCAAATCATGCTATATGTATGTTTTTTTGATTTGGGGATATCAGCTACATATAGATTAAACTCTCTAAAAGCTCTGCTTGCGCTGAGCAGACACGACAGTTCACGACCGCTGTTCAGCGAGAAAACAGAATCTGATGTGACTAAATTCTCGAAGAAAAATTCCAAAGTGATTTTATGACTCACAATATTCATATTTTGAAATGTTGCGAGTGTATTTCAAGTTATACCTCAAGCACTGAATACTAAAAACGTATCAAATGATCCTTATCTTAAAAGGCAGAGATGGCAGATTCCCTATCACGTTGGGCAAATGGAATTGTATATATTTGGCCGAAGTCTAAGCGGAAAATGCTCCCGGCAAATCGCGTTCAACTCATTGTACAACAGCTAGAGGATATGATGGATGATTATTATTATTATTATTATTATTATTATTATTATTATTATTATTATTATTATTGACGTTTTTTTGCTAGATCTGCCTAGAACTAAGAAAGCTATCACCCACGTGATTAAAATAGTATGGTGCAAAAGTAACATTGAATGAACCGGTTTGATGATGGAAGATGATTTAAAAAAATCAATTTCCGTACGATTTCATTTTCTCAACAATTCCAAATGTGTCCTCAATATCCCAGTATCCTAGTATAACCGAATACTCCCATACTACTTTTAAAAGTTCGTCTCAGAGCCCTCACGCATCATGCAGCCAGGCTGCGCCGATTGGCTGCGCTACTGCGCGATGTCCACTGCTAAACCCTGCTCATTGTATAATGGCCCAACCGAACATAGCACTTGGTTTGTGCCGACCATGAAGAGACCGGATGAGGCCCACTCAACCAACCAAACAGACCTTGACACAAAATAGTTGCGGCAGATGAATAGTTTCACTCGACCGAACTCTGTGGAGAACAGTTCATTTGCCGCAACGATAATGACGAAAAAGTATTTTTTACACTGGAGATTCTACAAAAATAAATGTTTCATTGTTTCTTCATTTCAAGACAGGACGAATAAGAACGTGATGAATAATATTAACTTTCAGATAAAAAACTCGAAGTGAAACATATTCTACACTTATTGAATCTGAATAATAATTATTATTATAATAATAATTATTATTATACTATAATTGTATGATAATTTTAATACTTATTTACTATTGTCATAATTATATGTCATTACAAAGAAGATTTACCTCAACGAATACTAAAATATGGATAGAAAAATGACGGCGAACCTGTCTTATACGAGCTTGTGGGTTTCTAACATTCCCAAAATCGGAGGGGGATGACTGAGTTAAGCGTCTCCTCAATAATCGAACAATTAAATACGGCAACATATAGTATGGCTAATGCTGAATCTGAATAATTCGCGAATCAGTCGGTTATTGTTCAATTTATCCAATACGGGTACATAAAGCCCGTGCTAGAAACAGCAATAATGCATAGCTCGGACTTGCAGATCAGCCAACACAAGGTGACTACGGCAGGTGAAATACGTTACGGTGACAAATAACACAGATATTGTGACAAACTGGGAAAAGATAGCTGAAGGGGGAATTCTAAAACTAGTGAGAGGCAAGGTATGTAGTTTCTAGTCCCACTGTCTCAGTCATGTGTGTTCCTATGAGTCAGTCATAAATTCCCACCTAAACCGTTTAACCTAACCTAATCGCATTCTGCTCTTATATAGGCGGTGTATTTTATGCACTTAACATATTAGATTAACACAAAACAAAAGATTCAAGTCGGATAGAGAAACTAGCTAAGTAATTAACCCTTTTTTTTATTTTTTATTTAACGTCCAAAACAATTAAAAACTGTATGAAACGTGCTATGGGAAGAAAAGTATTCCTTTGACGAACAATATTCCCAGGCGTGGAATTTTTGTATCATCGTAAGATGTATCAAATATCCTGGCCTATCTTTGTAAAGCTACTGGGAGATGGGGTATTCGAAATAGTTTTCGTTCTATTGATTGTCGACTATTTCGTGTTTCCGGGAGCGTGATCTGCTATGATCAGCAGTCCCGTAAGTGTAGCGCACGTTTTAACACGAGTGGTGACTGTGACATCCAGCGCAGACCTACCCGTCGGCTTGCGAGCGCCCTCTTCGGCGTGTCGTGCTCTCTTACGGCGGCTCCTCACATTCGGCATTCGCCGAGCAACGAACTCCTGCTCACCCAATCCCGAATAGCTGATGTGTTCAGCGAATGTTTGCTCCCTTTCATGTGTCCTAAAGACCGACAGGCGGTGGGTAGGGCGAATGCCAAATGTTCGGCGCTCGGCGAATCGTAAGCAACCCGTCCACACTACTCGGGATTGGGCGAGCAGTAGCTCGGTTCTTGGCAAATGCCGAATGTGTGGAGCAGCCGTAAGGCGCCTTAATACTGTTCGCCTAATCCCGAACAGCTGATGTGTTGGGCGAATGTTCTCTCCCTTCGATGTGTCCTAAAGACCGACATGCGGTGGGTAGGGCGAATACCGAATGTTCGGCGTATCGCAAGCAACCCGTCCACACTACTCGGGATTAGCTAGAGTAGTCCACACTACTCGGGATTCGCCGAATGCTGCATGTGTGGAGCCGCCTTCAGGCAGTGCAGCGTGTCATGTTCTTGGCTCTATAACTGTTTACTTTTCCATGCTTCAGCGGAGGGCCTTTGGTGGGACAACTAGTGGGTGCAGCGTCTGGTTGCCGAGCGCGGCGCAGCGTCCGCGGTGAATGCCAATTTTCTCTGAAACTATACATGTTTTTTTTATAACTTGGCGGATGAGTACCTGTCTTCACGATGGAATACCTCACGGCATTTCGTTTCTTTCTCGGTCGTGCCGCTAGATGTCGCATGATCGCCAGCACTGCTCGATTCGGTCGCGATCACGGGACGTCTAGCAGCACGACCAAGAAACGCGAAATGCCATGATATTCAATAGTGAATAAGACACTCATCCACCAAGATATAAAAATCCCAGTATCGCTGCGAACTTAATTTTAATTAGAGAGAAATTATTTTCATTTGAGGATTAATTTTTCTGATTTAAAATGCACATTTGCTGAGTCCTTTGTGTAAAAATGGCCGTTCTGGAAGGAAGTCCCTTTCTGTATCTCACTGTGTGTGCATATTTCCGACACGGCAACAGTAACAGTCTGTGAGCATTGTGAAAACGAGTGTGTGTGGAAGTTTTACTGCAATGTATTACCAGGGCAGTAAAATTTTCGAATAACATAATTCAATTTGTGTAATACTACCTATTCAATAGTACTTGTTACAAATTGAAGGAGTGCGATTACCTTATTTTCGAAACCACGTTATTTTTTGTTTAGTATGAATTCTATTTCCGTCAATTGTCTCAATGCATAACTAATCCGCCTCTGTAATGTAGTGCCTGTAAGTGTGTGTATGTGTAAGTAAGGGGTGACGACAGGGCAAGAGAAAGTAAAGATTGCGAGCGGTACGTGGCCGTTTGTTAGGATACTGCTCCAGCATTCGCCTGGCGTTGTTCGGAGGAACTATTCTCCACACAGCGACTAAATTTGGCCACACTATGTACACAGTGTCGAAAATCCTGCCACCGTCGGGACTCGAACCCAAAGAGCTCTCGGTCAGAGGCACTGCAATAACATCACTCGATGCTCTGAGGCCCCTCGGCCGGTTGTTTTCGTTAAATATGTTCAGTCTTTTAAACATTCATACAACACTCATTTTTGGTAACATTTCTCCTGATTCGTTTCTATGAATCTTATGAGAGGCCATCCATAAATTACGTAACGTAAATTTGGAGTCTCCCCCTTGTAACGCATCCGTACCCCGCGCTTGAACCCTCGCCCCTAAATAATTACGTAACGCTTGCGACAACAGCCCCTCATGTAAATGCAAGAAGCGAAAATAAATTATAGCACAGTAAAACCAATTTGTGTTTATTTTACTTGTGTTGTATATTAAAGTAATTAATGAAAAACAAATTAGAAATTAGATAGCGTTGTTGGCTGCATCTAACAATAAGATTGGACCAAGTTGTAAGTGAAGGAAGAATGTTGGGCGAGAAATGGTTGATCACAATGAAGCTATGCACACACCGTCATGGATGATGCAAAGGCGAGAGTCAACAGCGTCAATTTAAATTGATTCTACAATATACTTCATATCAGTTTTGAGTATTTTCTTCATAATCTTACAGATTAAAAAAAGTTGAAAAATAGTTCCATTTATTGTAACAATTCACAATAACTTTAGTTTATGGCTTTAAAACAAATTAATCAGTTAATATTTTAATGTACAAGACTCAAAAAAAGGAATTATTTAGCAAATGTTGAAAAATATTTTTTTAAAAGTATCAATGTTTCGAAACACTTAACTCATACCCCCTACCCCTATGTAACGCTGCCTCAGATCCCCTCCCCCCTCTTTAGCGTTACGTAATTAATGGACGACCCTTGAACACTTTAAATCTATATAGACATTGCTTCAGAATTCAAATTAACTTGTCCCCATAGCACGTCACACAAAGTTTTTAACTATTTTTGTCGTAAATAAATAAATATTTTTTTCTGTTCGTTGTTCCTGTAGTTAAGTTTAAGATTGAGGTGGGAGTAAAATTAAAATTCATTGAATTGCGATCAATATGATCATAATTATTCTGATTGATTGTGAGCTTTAGCTGATTTTCTAAGGACACTTAAATCATAAATTACGGCAGAAACTCATTTTTACCAAAGTCTTTTGTTGGTATTACATTTTTAAAATAGTTTTAACTTCCCCGCTTGTAAACCTCATTAGCGATTCCTTTTAATAGTTTTAACTTCCACACTTGTAAACCACATTAGCGATTCCTTTGCGATCTTCTCGTTCATTAATGACTATTTCTAGAGTGTTTCGTAACTAATATTGATTAAATTATGATTGTATAGGTTACTTATTCCAATTCTTCCCTTTAGTTTCTTAAAACGCAATATTTTTATTATTTTGCTTGATCATTACTGTAGCTACTGATGCATCTTGCCACTGATATTATAAAATTTTAAAGAAGTCGTAATAAGTTGAATTACGCCCAGTTGATTTGAAAGACCCGCTACGAGAAATCTAACAGATGTACCAACATACGGAAGATATTAGAGCATTCGTGTTCTTATTCACCCACGCAATAGACAAACGTAGATTTTGCTTCGAGTGTTTTATCATATCCTAACAAATTTAAATCAAGTTCTTTACTAAGAATACGGCACCATTTTACAACAGATTTCATTGAGCTATGAACCTGTAATTCCCAGTCAATAATCGGAGGTAAGTCTGTACACTATATAAAAAACCAAATACTAGAGAATATTATAGTATTTCAAAAAACTATAAGAAAGGAAAATTTACGAAAAAGAAATCTTTCATTCTAGAGAAAAGCTAAACTATTTCTCTCGTTTATGAAAATGCATCCTCTTAATGGTTAAGTAACAAGTTTATCTTGAGTAGTGAGTGTGTATTTTTTGAGGCCTTTATCTTGTGCAAATGTAGATGACAGGTGGTGGCGCGGTAGCACGTGCCGAGGCGCTGTAATTGAATACGTAAGAGCAAAACGGGTGCATCGTCTCTCTAGTAACGCCTAATTAGTATTCCTAATTAAAATTTTTCCAATCGAATTAAAGATTTTTTTAGATTACTTAGTACTTTTAAGTACAAGAGATTTGTTTTGAGTCAATTTTTGAGAGAATTTTGCCCAGTTCAGCAATTTAATATTTTGCTTGAAATTTGATTGTAAATCTTTACGGCAGAGCGAGTGAAAAATGTAAAAATGATATAAACAGGCTCTATTTTTTGCAGGTGCACAATGCCTGATCTTCCACCTACATATGTTGCTGGTTTTCACAATGAGGAAGCTGTTTCTAAAATGCGCTACAATCCACTGGGATCTACAGGTTTGTTGGTATCTCATCTTGCATATGGAGGAGGGTGTTTAAACAAGGAAGGATATGGGTGAGAAACAATTTTTCCAAGTTTTTAAATATTAATTTATTTAATTTTATATTTAAATAAATAGAAAGATTTACTAATGTAAAATGTATACAGACTAAGTGTAGTGTGTTCATTTTCAAAGCGTGTTTGATGAAGAAGAAGCTGTTAAGACAATTCACGAGGCCATTAAAAATGGTATAAATTACATTGATACTGCCCCATGGTATGGAAATCGCTTCTCTGAAGAATTCTTAGGAAAGGTATTCTGAACACTAGCAAATACTATTAAATAAATTTGAATTGTTCCCAAATCAGAATTCTTTAGAATAGTTCCTCATAAACCCACATTAATAATCCAACTGAATGTTTACTTCCCTTTACATACAGGCCTTAAAAGGTATTCCTAGACAAGCTTATTATATAGCAACTAAAGTAGCAAGATATGAAAGAAATATTGCAAAAATGTTTGACTTTTCTGCAGAAAAAACAAAGAGTAGCTTTGATTTGAGTCTCAAGTTACTTGGTGTGACGTATGTTGATATAATCCAGGTATAATTTTTTGTTTTATTTGAATTAGAATATTTAAATAATCTGAATACTTGGAAGGATACCAATTCTGCAAAGAACCTTTTTACATTATAGAAAATTTATATAAGTAGTCCAGGTTATAAAAAATATTAAATTTAAATGATATGGAGTAAATGAAACATTTTTATTACCATTATTTCCAGGTACATTACTTTCAATATAATATAATTTTTTGAACCAAAATGTAAATTGCATACACTACATATTAGTTATTTTTATAAAATAGGTTCACGATGTGGAATTTGCTCCTACGCAAGAACAAGTGCTAAATGAAACACTGCCCACAGTGGAAACATTTGTTAAGGAAGGAAGGGCTCGTTTTGTTGGTATTTCTGCCTATCCTCTATCAATTATGAAGGAAGTTATTGAAAAATCCTCTGTAAAAATTTCAACAGTTCTTTCTTACTGTAGAGATACTCTTATTGATGATTCTCTGAGGGAGTATATGTCTTTCTTTCAAGTATGCCAATAAATGTGTTAACTCAAATTACAAATATAAATTAATATAATCAAAAAACATTTCTTTCTAAAATTCCTCATGTCATAAATCATTCAGTCAAAAGGTGTGGGAGTAATAGAAGCAGCAAGTCCTGCAATGGGTTTACTGACATCTGGAGGACCACGGGAATGGCATCCAGCAAGTCAGCAGTTAAGAGATTTTTGTGCTGAAATGGCAAAATATTGCAAGGTATGAAAGATTTCTTGATTATCAGAAAATTCAACAACTTATTTAAAATTTTGAAATATCACTTAAAAGGCATTGTATTATTTTTGAATAGCTCCCCAAAAAATTCTTCTGTACAATTCATGTAAGAATAAAAATAACTTAACTCAAAAGTCACAATGTTTCAATTCTGAGAAGGTGCAATTGATTTTTTATATTTAATGTGAACTGCTGATTTTAAGATATTCGTATAAAAAATGTTACATAAATTAAATTGTGATTTTGTATGTATACTTTCATTCTTTTGGCTTAATTAGGACAAAGAAGTTGAATTGGGTCATCTGGCTGTTAATCATGCTTTGACACAACACGGACCTGCAACTCATCTTATCGGCATGCAAACAAGAGCCCTTCTTGAAAGAAATCTCAATATTTTATTGAATGGCCTTTCTGAGAAAGAAAAAGAAGTGTTGAGTGAACTGGAGTCAAAGTATGTGTGATGGCTCAGAGAGGTTTTTAAGATGCTGTTGTACTACTATTTTCTTTTTCTTTTCTTAAGCATTTAAATGAAGTTTTTACTTAGCATGATTGTTGCTATTTTCAGATATTTAACAAGAGTACCAGAGAAACATTGGGAAGGCAAAGAACTAGAGACATATTGGGCTCAAATGAAAACATTAAATTGATTAAAATAATCATCCATAAATTAAAAAAAATAATATTCTATGAAAAGTTACAAGAAACAAGCAGAAGACTAGGGTTACCATAGACATGTGTAGCCTAAAACAAGAGGGAGAGGCCACATTTTTGGCCACCTGTGGTCCTTTTTCAAATAAATGTTTTTATTTACTTACAGCATTTGACTAGGAAATCAATAAAATGTACTACAAGAAGAATGAAATTATAACTTTAATGATAGAGTTAATAAATAGAATTGATATTTTGAATCATTAACAGAGTTGCAGATAGTTTGGAGAGCCTTTTCTCCACAAGTGTATCAATTCCCCAAATTATCAACTTCAAGAAGGGGTAAAGTAAGGAATTCATTGTATCTCAGACAATTAACGTCTCCCTCCTCTGTGCCTGCCAATGAGTATTATAATTGCTCAGGTGAAAGAAAGATGACCAATTACAATACAGATAGCAAAGAACTTTGATAATTTTAACTCTTGTAACTCACATTTTCTTCATTCTCTAAGAATAATTTAATTTCCATTAATTCCCTTTAATGATTTTCCATCCATTATTCAAGTTTTACAATTGAAACTTCATTATTTCACACTATTTTAACAATGCTTCTTTTTTCTTCCTTCAGATTTATATTACTAAGGTTTCACTGTATTTATTGATATAACAGTTATGAGAAGAGCAATAAGACAGTGAATGAAACTGATGCATGTAAAGAATATTAAAATTACTTTTAAGAACCATTGATATTCCTCATGGTAACAAATTTTGTATATTTTATATGAAATGAAATATATTTTTCCAAGTAATAACTTAATTCTCTAGAAACCACAACATTATTTATTTTATCAAAAGCATTCTTCTGTCCAATTATACATAAAAGAAATATTTTTTCTCCTCAAATATATAATTGCATATAAAGGATATCTGGAAGGAAATGCAGAAACTTCGAAAATAAACTCTTAAGACAATTTTAAGCATTTTTGCTAATGAACTACTTTGATATTCCGAATGGCTAAGCTGCTATAAACACTCTAAAGTTGGTTTGAAAAAATGCTTTCTAGGCAAAAATTTGCATTGCAAAATATAGAAACACTCCAGAAAAATGTACATTGTTTATTATTTACAAACGAAATGAATATATTCAATGAGAAGGAAACATTAAGCCATAAATAAAAAAGCAGTCAAATTGTGAAAATTGGGTGTTTTTTTATTTCTGTGTTAATTTTTCTTTCTGAACAAATATATTCATTTCTTCTGTAATGCAAATGTTTGCTTAAAAAACATTTTTTCAAACCAACTTTTGAGTGCTTCTTGTGGATCAATCATTTAGAATATCCAAGTAGTTAATTAGACAAAATATATTTAAAATTTGAAAATTTGTCTTAAGATCTTATTTGTGAAGTTTTGACGTATCCTCCCTGGACATTCTATATACAGTGGAATGTCGATTATCTGAATGTCAGTCATCCAAAACATCAAAAATATCCAAACTCATATTTTCAATAATTTTTTTTAAGGTACTGTATACTATACGTATACATTTTCTGTTGTAATACTGAATATTGAAAATGATCCCCGACATGACTGACAGAAATAAAATATTAACAAGAAACTGTACTATAATCAATCATCTGAGTTCAGTGAACTTTGATAAATCCTACAATAAATGCTTAAGAACTCAGACTGTTAATTATTAGCAGAAAAATGCTTTTATCACAGCATTTTATGTACACTTGCCATTTTTATGTTCGGTTATCTGAATTATCAAATATCCTAACTATACCTGGTCTCAATTAGTTCGGCAAATGATATCTCATTGTATAAAATAGGAAATGAAGTGTTCGAGTGTAAAAGATGATAATCCACCAAAATTGTAGTTTTTGGGACCCTATAACTTATGGTACCCAATGTCTGTTGTCCATGGAGTGTTCAAATAGTTCAATTTCTGGTCCATAGATGGCTTCTACTTGTTATCTTTTTTATGTAACGCACTTAAACCAATTTCACTTGCTCATATACTTCGTAAACATGTTCCTGGGTATTCAGCATGATTGGATTTAGGTACTGAGGGGCTTCTGGGCACAAAAGGTCCTCTTAAAGGCACCCCTCTGGAAAAATTTTCCCCAGATTTACTAAAATAGTAATTTAATGTTTATCAAATGTTTAAAAAAAAAATAATTTTTATAAACAAACTTTTTAGAACAGTAAACTACTTGATTAACAGTTATTTTACAGACACAATCATATTTTATAATATTTTTCCAAATGTTTTATGCATTCTTTTCAGAGGCATGGTACCTCCCTGGATGGGGGCCTGTCTAACCAACTGCATATTTTGTTTGTAGGCTCCAGTATTGGGTTAAACATTCAAACCCTTCAAATATCTTTATTAATAAATATAAAGTTGAAAAAAAACCTACAATTAGTACCTAACAACCTTGCAAAGTTAGCTTGGATAACTCTTGTGAAGATAGAAACATAATAAATACATAGTGTTAGTGGTGGAGGCTGAAAAAAAGACCTGTTTCTGATGCTATTGAGCTAATATGGACATCTAGATATGATAAATAAACTGATCATTGATAAATTTTATTCCAAGCACAAAGACAATTCATGTTCAGACATTTTATAATAAAATTCAATTTAAATTGAATGAAACAAATATTAGACAAATGACCAAGGCAATTTGATGACTGCTGAACAAAACTGTAAAGAAGTTTGGTCCCAACAAAAACTAAAGCAATGGTTTTTAATGGCAAAGATTACATAATGACAAAAAAGTAACACCCCAAATAACAGAACAGGCATCAACTTTCATAAACATGTAACAAAATCTTAATACAAAAGCAGTATTTTGATTCATAACTGGCAAATTTCAAAAGAATTACTAAAGAATAAAGATCAATTCCACTCAAAATCATAGAAACAAACTAGTGATGTTACAACACAGGATGGACGTTCTTGATTAATTTGTTGTTTAACTATATTTTAATTGATGTACTACTAATATTTTAGCCATATGTACTTCATTTATAAAAAAATATTAGGCAAAGCACCAAGAAAAATATACAAATAAAATGACTGGCTTCAAGTTGTACAGGAGCTGAGGATGGAAAAGCCATCATAGAAAAATCAGTATAATAAAGGAGCTTCCATAAAATAAATATGCAAAAATGCAAATTATTTTCAAAACTACAAGCTCAAAATAAATCATACAACTCAACTGAGAAAGGTTCCTGATTTTCTAAAAAAAATGTAGTTCTCAAAAAAGAGAAAGAAGTTTTGTATGTAGCTTATAAAAATGTATAAGATCATTTTAGTTTCAAAAGTAAATAATCGTAAAATCACTAAAACATATAATCCCTTTTTTATCTGCAGAAGCATCTGAAGAATTTTACAATAGATTAATCCATGAATCACTAAAACAAGTTTTATTTTGATCATAATTTCAAATAATACTGGTTGAAATGAAACATTCTAAAATAATGTTATTTGCTCTTGCCCTTACTTTAGTGTCTATGAGACCTCGAACTATAGTAATTTATGAAAGATTCTGTATTAATATCTTGTAGAGACGTCATACATTATAAGTATAATTTGTAATGATAGGCTGTATCCTTTTTAGAAATGTCAACATTGTTTGTCTTTATTATTTCTGAAAAGTTTCTGAAGAACAATGACACTCTGAAATTGCATAGTAGCAATTAAATAATTTAATTCCTTGAAAATAAAGTAATGAAATCAAATAAAATCAATAAGTCTTTAGCAAACAGACCCAAAAGTAATGTGAAAAAGAAAAAAATGGATTATATTTAATTTATAATTGTAAAAAGAAGTGAAAATGTATATTTTCTCAAAAATGTTACAAAGAAAGTTAACCATGAGTGTAAAACTAGTTTTCATTAAACTTGGGGAAATTTGAGATAAAAATATTTTAAGAATCTTTTAAATAATTTAATCTGAACTTTCCATGTGATTCATCCAAAAATAAATTTTAAAAAATTAACAATTTTGTCAGAACTCAAGGCGAAAAGGAAACTAGTTATTTTTAATTAATACAATTTATGGAATTTAATTTTTTGTACTAAAAAAGTAGGCTGTCATTTATACATTCATTCAATTATGCACCATAATACCCAAAAATAACCAAGTCTGCCAGAAAAATGTACCTGTGGCTTAGCGGTCAGCGCGCTGGCTTTCCAACTCTCCTCACCACGGTTCAAACCCCATCACTTCTTCAGAACTTGTAGAGCACCGATCTGTTTAGCGCGTGGACGAAACTCCTCGGGATTCCATTTGCCGTACCCTTCATCACCACTATGCTTCCATCATTATTCACCACACCGTTATTATCTACACGAGAAAACATTGACCGTAATAGTAAAAGCGAAATACAAGATACCAGGTATATAACAAATAAATATGTACATTCACGATCGTGGAAGGAAATTTAAATTATCCGGTTCGCCACGAAATCACACTGCTGCCATCCAACAAGTATGCCAACAATACAAAATTGCGCATGCGCAGAGCACTTGGTCTAACTTGGCCACGTCTGAACATCTTACGAGGGTTGCTGTCAACGTTGGGGAACTAATTAGAGAAACAAATACTTGCGAATAGAGAAGGTTTCTCGCAATCATGGTAAGCTATATAATGTTTATATTTTAACTCTTTCGGGGTTTGATGTTTTAAAAGATTTTATTTTTAATTTTTCACTGAGTTATTAGGAATCAGTCGATTTACCTAACCTCTATTTTACTGTTCAATGCCCTTTCATTTTGCGGCGAAACATATTATTCTTAATACTTTTATTAATTACTATTATTGTGTGCTTATAATTGATGGATTGTTAGTCATACAGTGTTTTAATGTTATGCTAATGTGAATTGCATTAATATGAACCTGTCACTGATAGAAAAAAATACTTTGTAAGTCTGAGATTGTAATTAGATACATTGACATTCCACTTATGTGTCACTTTTCTAGTTAATTAAAAACCGCCATTTAGTTAAATTTATTAGGGCTATTGGAAATCATGAGCCACACAATTTTGTTTAATCCAATAAAAATATTATATGATGAAATTTTTGGGGAGAGACACTACACCTTGTATCCAAAAACTAATTTAAACCTACTGCTAAATAAATACCCCAATTAAACACACATTGTTGTTAAATTCCCAGAAATACTATAAAAGTATATATGCCTCACAGTTTCAAAAGAGAGACCAGTTTGAAAAAATAAGACTTGAAATCTGATACAAGATTCAACTGTCACACTTTGGGATTGAGACAGTTGAGATGCATGATTTCTGAAATCAGACTATATAATATTTTATAAGCATATTTTTATTTTGTGAAAATTTAATTTTTGTACATTCCAGACGTTATTGAGTGCTTTCATGCCTACCATAGTGTATGAAGCAAAACAGTATCAATGTGAATCTGTGTTCTGTAAAATGAAAATACATCCTATCTCCCATCACTTGTCCTAAGATAATACAATTTACTGAACTTTAGTAGATTAAAATTCTTTATTTTTTATGTCCTTTTTTCAGCCTCTTCGTTTAGATATTAAACGGAAATTAACTGCTCGTTCAGACAGAGTTAAATGTGTGGACTTGCATCCAACTGAACCATGGATGCTTGCATCACTATACAATGGAAATGTTCATGTATGGAACCACGAAAGTCAACAACTTGTTAAATCTTTTGAGGTACATTAATATAATTATTTGTTTGGGGATAGGTTTGTTAATTGATACCACAACATTTGGCTTATTACTTTATTATTAATACATTTCAGGTTTGTGATTTACCTGTCCGTGCTGCAAAGTTTGTGCCTCGAAAGAATTGGATTGTAACTGGTTCAGATGATATGCAAGTGCGTGTTTTTAACTACAACACTTTAGAAAGAGCTCATGCATTTGAAGCCCACTCTGATTATGTTCGCTGTATTGCTGTTCATCCTACTCAACCATATATATTGACTAGCAGTGGTAAGTAGTCAAGGAAGATTTTATTCTTCAACTGTCAAATATTGAATAAATGATATCAATATGTAACTTTCACACAGATGATATGTTGATTAAGTTGTGGAACTGGGAAAAGCAATGGTCTTGTCAGCAAGTATTTGAAGGCCATACTCATTATGTTATGCAGATTGTTATAAATCCTAAAGACAATAATACATTTGCTAGTGCTTCTCTGGATCGTACTGTCAAGGTATGTGCATTGTCAAATTGGTATTGGTGTGTTGTTCGAATTCTGTCAAATTTCCTAATTACATCTCCTATTTAAGGTGTGGCAGTTGGGCTCATCTACTCCTAATTTTACCCTGGAAGGTCATGAGAAAGGTGTTAATTGTGTGGATTATTATCACGGTGGAGACAAACCATATCTTATCTCAGGAGCTGATGACCGCCTTGTGAAAATTTGGGATTACCAGAATAAAACATGTGTCCAAACTTTGGAAGGACATGCACAAAATATTTCAGCTGGTTAGGAATAATCATTTATTTTGATGCTCAACAAGAACACTTTTATAATACCTTATAAAATACTATTATATAACATTTTACTAGTGAAATAATTTTCAACCACTTAATACTACATAATCTGTTCTCTGCCATAGTGTGTTTTCATCCTGAGCTGCCTATTGTCCTTACTGGTTCAGAAGATGGTACTGTTCGTATTTGGCATGCTGGCACATACAGACTAGAATCTTCATTGAATTATGGCTTGGAGAGAGTGTGGACAATTGCCTGTATGCGCGGATCAAACAATGTTTCCCTTGGGTAAATGTTATAATTTAAGCTAAAACTACTTGTAATTGTAAACTTATTCTGTGTCTCTCTCAATATTGTTTTTATTTCCCAGTTACGATGAAGGAAGCATTATGGTCAAAGTTGGTAGAGAAGAACCAGCTGTATCAATGGACGTCAATGGTGGAAAAATTATTTGGGCAAAACATTCCGAGGTTCAACAAGCCAATCTCAAAGCCATGGGAGAAGGAGCTGAAATTAAAGATGGAGAAAGACTTCCATTGGCTGTCAAAGACATGGGGAGCTGCGATATTTATCCTCAGACAATTGCTCACAATCCAAATGGTCGCTTTGTTGTTGTTTGTGGTGATGGGGAATACATCATTTATACTGCCATGGCATTACGTAATAAGGCTTATGGATCTGCCCAAGAGTTTGTTTGGGCTCAAGATTCATCAGAGTATGCCACAAGAGAAGGAAGCTCAACTGTAAAAGTATTTAAGAACTTCAAAGAAAAAAAAGCATTTAAACCGGAGTTTGGAGCAGAAGGTACAGACTTTTAAGTTTTTCCTTCATTGTTAGTTCAGTCTGAACACTCAGATTTTCTGATTCTTTCTTCTCACTTGTTATATACGAGGGTTAAACTAATGAAAATCATATAAGTATGATCAAATTGTGTCATAAATGATTTGTTGGTTGGCAACAGTTACTCTTGTGGATCCATCAATAATTAAGATAGTGGTATGATTCTGGGACTGTGACATGATTTTGTTCATGATCAAATTATTGCACGTGCAAGTATGGCCTAGCATTGGCAATATGCATCACATTAGAGTAGATCTCTTGTTGTTTGAGTAGTGAAGGTATGAAATCTGTTGACGACAATTCTAGAATGTCAAAACACTATAGTGATTCATGCCGGACCCTGCAACAGGCGTAGGAATATAGTAGAGTAGAGAGTCCAAAAACTGTGTAAGTTGTATTGTGAATATACCACAGCCTGGCCAGCATTGAAAGGAGAAAAAGCCATCAGAAAAGCAGGAAACATCACTCCCTTTTCTGAATTCTATGGACAATTTGGAAAACTATGCCAGTGAACATTCTTGTGCAGGTTATGGATGGTAAAGCATCATCATCACTGTGAAATCAAGAATAAATGATCATGATATTTGGCCTCTGGAGTTTTGTTGGGCTACAATTTCAAACATGAAATTTGAATGTGTAACACCTGTACCTTGTTAGTGGGACCTGGCACAGGTGTTTGTCAAGACTTCAAACCACTCAAATAGTGATAGGATGAAAACATTTCCAATCCTGTGAAGAGATAAAAAACAAAGTGCACAAATTTCAAGAGTAGAAATCAATCTTTTGGAGAAAAATCCTTTGAAGAGATGGAATTTCCAATATTCCACATTGTGGGAACTACTGTATATTAAGAAATGAGACACATGATTTTTATACATTTATTGAGTTACTTTATAAAGGTTTTCATTTGATTCTCCCTCATAATATTATTAAGTATTTTCTGTTATTCAAGCTGCGTTATACATTCCTGAATAATTTGTTGTTTGTAGGAATATTTGGTGGTTTCATGCTGGGAGTACGCTCTGTTACTGGTTTGGCTTTTTATGACTGGGAAACTTTGGATCTTGTTCGACGTATTGAAATTCAACCCCGTCATGTATTTTGGTCAGAAAGTGGGGAACTTGTCTGTTTAGCTACTGAGGATAGTTATTTCATTCTCAGATATGATGCTAATGTAGTAGCAAAAGCAAACGAGACTAAAACAGGAGTATCAGAAGATGGTGTTGAAGATGCCTTTGAGGTAAATGAGAATTGCTGCATTTCGTGAATAATTTTCATTCATCAAAATGAGATAAAGTTTTAATATGTACTTTGTTTATTTCCAGTTTCTTGGTGAAGTACATGAAACTGTACGCACTGGCTTATGGGTTGGAGACTGTTTTATCTACACAAATGGTGTAAACAGGATCAATTACTATGTGGGTGGTGAAATTGTAACTGTGTCTCATTTGGATCGCACAATGTATTTGCTTGGATACGTCCCTGGAAACAACCGTTTGTATTTAGGAGATAAGGAATTGAACATAGTGTCATACTCCTTGTTACTATCAGTTTTGGAATATCAAACAGCTGTAATGAGGGCAGATTTTGAGACTGCTGACAGAGTATTGCCTACAATTCCCAAGAGTCAACGAACAAGAGTAGCTCACTTTTTAGAAAAACAGGTTTGTAAAATTGCAGTTCAAACAAGCTCAGTATTGTACATCAACTTTATTTATTAAATAATTAGTATCTCTTTTGTGACTTATGATGATAAATACAGAAAAACCAATATTAGAATGTTTGTGTTGTGTATTAACAAACTAAACATACGGAAAAAAAATTAGATTAGGCAAATATTACTTCAGTAGAGTTATCTCAGAGTCAACATTGCTGTTTCCTAACTCTGAAGTCAGAGAGATCGGGTCCCAACAATGGTGAACAATGGTGAAGCTGCTCTCATCAGTAGTTTTACGTATTTCTGTAGCCAAGACCCACACCAGAGTGTGCCAGACAAACACCAGAGTAGTACCAAACAAATGGGCCAAGGACTGTGCATGATCTTTCCTTCCTCTTCCTTGTCCTGTCCTATCCTCCCCTTACATATACACATTTACACTAACACGTATTACACTACCAGCAACTCAGTCAGGAGACCAGTTGGGAGCTTAGAGCATGTTCCAGCTGGGGCAGTGTCTTGTGGAGAGATATCGAGATTCCTAGAGGGGAAAATTGCCTGAATGACTTCAGCAGTTGGCATGGGTGGGATCGTCAGTGAATAGAGCAAGCAAATATTACTTGTTGAAATTTTTTTATCAGAAGTACGATGTCTTTTGAATGTGTATAATTAAAAGAAGTATACACTCTGAATTACATCTACTGGAAATGCTACTAAATTTTTAGTTTCAAGTCTTTCTATACTTGATATATAATTTGTGATTCTTTGATTTACCACTGGAAATAACACGTAGTATAAAAACATTAACAAACTGTATGTTAAGCTTGTGTAATCATTAAACAAGAGAAAAAAAATATTTTCTAAATTTTACAATGTTGTAGGGCTTCAAACAACAAGCACTGGCAGTATCCACAGATCCTGAGCATAGGTTTGAGTTAGCTCTACAACTGGGTGAGTTGGAAATTGCTCACACTCTTGCCAATGAGGCTGCATCTCAACAAAAGTGGAGGCAACTTGCTGAATTAGCTACTTCAAAAGGGCAGTTGGAATTAGCACAGGAATGTTTGCATCATGCACAAGACTATGGTGGCCTCTTGCTTCTTGCAACATCCTCTGGTAATGAATTTTTCAGACCTGTTACATTTAAGATGCGTATTGACATTAGAAACTGAAGATCTTTGCCAATTTTGTACAAATTATTTTTTCATCCTGAGAAAAGAATATCGATTGATTTTATTCATTAAATTACATATCAATTTACTATGTTAATTAGACAATTTTTATTTCATTGTTTGCTAAATTAAATTAAGCAATTGGGTATATGATTGCTAAATTAAATTAAACTTTTCGGTATATGTTTAGAGCTTTCACGTGCGTCCCTCAAAATTCTTCTTTATTTCTTAAGATAATGTACTTTATCAGAAACAATATGCTTTTAAGGTTCATACAGTTTCAAATGCAGAGTATCAGAGAGGGCAAAATAGGTTAATTTACTCATTGTCTCTGTTACCTTCATGAATCGATGTTTTAACTTGGAGAGAAATATACTCTCTGAACTGTTTCATTTTTGGTGTGCAAAGTGTTTTGCAAAATCTCCTCAGAAAGCCAGAACATCATCCTGTGATGAAAAATATACATCATACTTTTGAAAAGGAATTTGGTCAGAAATTTCGTAGATCAATTTAGTCCTTCATTTTGGACATTCACTACTTTATTCAAAAATTAAACAAAAAGTACTTGAAGGTCATATTGGTGCTAAAATTAATTTAGAAAAATATATTCATTGTTAATCTTCAACTATTATTTATTTTCTCAATTATTTGTTAGGAAATGTTGCTTTCTCATTTAAGTGCACTTGTAATGTTAATGTAATTGAATAATTTGGAATGTTGATTGTGTCTATTTCTGTACCATGTATAAACAATTTAATTTTTTTTTCTTTATTTTTTCAGCTTCTTGCTAATTGCACTTTAAGCCAACAATAATATGAAACCTTTTCTATTACAGGCAATGCCAAAATGGTGAAGAAGTTAGCTGAAACTTGTGATGGAACTGGAAAGAACAATGTTGCTTTTCTGTCACACTTCATTTTGGGAGATGTTGAAAAATGTCTTGACATACTTGTAGCCACTGACAGGCTTCCAGAAGCTGCTTTCTTTGCCAGGTGAGCAGACACATGCAACACTATTTAGTCACTATATAGTTATCATACATTTATTTTCCATACATCTGAATGGCTTGTTTGTAATCTTTCAGAACTTATTTGCCAAGTAAAATCTCCTATGTTGTGGGGCTTTGGCGTGAGGCGCTCTCGAAAGTCAGTGAGAAGGCTGGCCAATCACTTGCTGACCCAAAGGATTATGAAAATTTGTTCCCTGGCCTAATAGATGCATTAAAAACAGAACAGTATCTGAAGGCAGAGCGAAGCAAAGTTATTCCTGCTCATATGTATACACAAATTCCAGTGAGTAAACTTCAAATTCCTGAGCAGATTAATACTGAGATTCTTGACCTTCTGTTGGATACTATAAATAACATTTCAGAATCAAACATAATATATCAAAGAGAAATGCATTGCATAAATCATGCTGTATTACATTGTAAGAAAGTTTATATTACCATAAAATGTATGTCTTTGTGAAGAAGACCTTCATCTCATTTTTCTACATCATTGCAATCAGTGTTCTTTTGATCACTAAAATCAATTTGCCTATCATTGCTGTCTTCAACATACGAAATAATTTGCATTACTTATATAAATTTTGAAATGTGTAAATCTAATAACGTGTAATCTTCCATGTGATGAAAATATAAGCACTTAATTAATTTACTCTTGCTTGCATGAATGGGTGCAGTTTCTCAGTGTCACAACCAAATTTTGAACAATACATCAGAATTCACTGCCACAATTTGATTGCTACTTTCCTAAAAATCAAAGTTCCCAATATTATCATTTTAAAAATTCATCAAAACATAAACAGAGCCTATCTCTGTCATAGTAGGTGGGGTCTTCTGCCCAAAGACAAGTTTGCATCTCGAAGCTCAATATTTCTATGCATGAAATGTTTTTGTAGTATTTCGCTATTGCTTCCTGTAGGGGCATGAATTCTTAACATATAGAAAATATATAATTTAAAAAAACTTCTTTTCTTGCAGATGAACCATGAAAGGAATCCTATAGAGGAAATGAAGGCAGCAGAAGCTGCTGGAAAATTCCATTACGTTCCAGAGTTTGTTAAAGATGAAGATGAAGACGATGAAGATGACCTTACTGAAAAGTTTGAGGAACCGGAAGGATCAAATTTACCTCCTGGTAAGATCTTTGATTTGTCAAAGAAATAAGATAGAGAAAAAAAACACACAAAGAATTTTAGTCTCTTTCACACAAAAACATTTACAAGTGAATGATGATCAACAATGCTGTACTTCATTCAAATATTCAAAGTTTCTCCAAGAATTTAAACAACTCTTGTTTTTTTGTGAAATTCTTTCTACAACATCTCTTTAATTACAAAATATCTAGACCACTATAACTTCACAGCACAACAGGTGTAAACTATTAAAGTTCTCATTTTTAATTGTTTATCTCCCTAAAGTGTGAATAAAATTAGAATGTAGTTGACATTTTGTGGTCACATGATGATGCCAGCACTGTAACTAGGGAAGAGTGAATCGGAAGCTTTGGTATTTGTACATTGTTGTCACCAAAAATTAGGAAATAAATGTTACATGTAAACAAATGTTATGAACAAATGTAACATTTCTTTAAATGTGTCTAGAATGAATTGTGTACCAAAGTCATATACAGCCAAACCACATTCTGAAAGTAACTTTGCTAGGGAGAAAAGTCACCTGATAGATGGTGGCCATTCTTTTATAAATTATGCTGTGTGTGTTTCAAATCCAAATGAGATGTATTCCTTCTTTTTTTGACAGTTATACTGCAGCCAACTTTGGTAATTCCTACTCAAGCTCCTCCCAGTGCAGCTACACCACCTGCTCCTGAAAAGGAGGCCTCTTCAAAGTCCCCTCTCTCACTAGATGCTGATATTGCTGCTCTAGAAGAAGAGTTGGAGCTGGACATTGATAATTTAAATATTGATGATAAGATCGACCATTTGGTACGTTGACAAATAAAGCTGTGTGTGATCATGCTTTGCTTTTCATGCTCTCTTATTGCTTCTCATTTTTGTCTTCCATCTTGTGAAAATTAAATATTATTTATTTCTTGAGCTTAAATATTTTATTTGCATTGACACTTGCATTCATCATTTGGGTATTAGAATCAAAAGAATATTGTCCGATTCAGAAAATTGATAGTACATTTGTCCCATGCTGGTGGATTGATTCTAAGTGAAGTAGAGAACTTCTACTCCCCCTCTTGATACTTGTATGTCAAATCTCTAAACTCTGTGTCCCGGTGATACTGTGCTTCATTTTTCTCAAAGATAGTGATAAAGAGATCAATCTATACATTCATTGACTTGTCATCTTCAGTATTTTAGTCTCGTCAAGTAAAAAAGTAATCAGCAAATGCAGACATATATGGTTATTATTGAACGTTAACTTCCACTCTTCTTTTAAGATAATTTTTGTGTGAAATATTTGTTAAATTGGTGCATGTTAAAATGTTTCTGGAAGTCCTAAGGTTCCCGCATATTTTAGTTTTGCTGAGAGTCCTTTCAGTTTGGTATGTTCAAAAGTTCACAAAATCTGAGATAGATCCGCTTATTAAATAAAATAATCCCTTGTATTTTCTAAAATCAATTTAATCAGAAAGGGAAGGGAAATGGAAATAGGTATGTCCTCTGGAACGAGCAGCAGCTAAAGAAGTTATGAAATGTTGCTACCATGTATGTGTGCCGCTTTTGTACCCCTAAATGTTCTCCTGCATTTCATTCATTCCCATTCTCTAAAATATTTCAGCCCCTCTGGAAGCTTTTATTTGCTAGTTAGCCACACATGAATTATCCTTGTTGGAATCATGAATCTGGATTGAGATGTTACAGGAAATCCCCCCATTCAAAAATAATAATACGTTCAACATGGTAATAACTTAGAAGAAAGCAAGGCAATAAAGTTTTCTTTTGAATTCTCGGCTATCCGGGAGACGCCGCGTCGTTGGCTGGGTCTTTGGCTTTTAATTTGATTTTAATTATTAAAATTTTAAAAATGCAACGGCAAGTAATGGCTCATTGTTGTGGTGGTAGTATATTTGATTACCATGAGGCAGTGACAGCTAACAAGGACAAAATTCATTAGGCATACTTTATTAAACTGCAACAAAATACAACTTGCAAATTAAATGAAGAAGTGGGAATATCACATGAAGAAGAAATCAGACTTTTTAACCGATAATATTATATAAAAATTACTATATCATAGACCTTGTAAATTAAAGAGTTCTGAAATGATGACAAAAATGTTACCAATTGAAGGTTATCCCCAGGTATATCTGGAGTTACAAAAGAGGAACCCTCTACAATAATGAATTCAAAAGTAGTACATGTAAGAATGCAGACTTGTTTAGCATATGGAGTTGAACCTCTGAGAATGATTTCAGAAATCTGGGTAAGAAAGGAAAATCTCCCTTAAAAGGTGCTGAAAGATGAATATGAAATAGTATTTCTTATTATGAAGTTTTGACAAAATCATATATTGCTACCTTCTTCATAATTTAACTTATTATAGTATAAGAGCTAGGATAGGGCTTCCTGAGATTTATGATTGCACTTTCTACCACACTTCGCTCAGTTTTCAACTGGTGGTGGTGTTGTTTTTAGTTAAATAAATAATAGATAAACATGTCCTTTTTGTGAAGTAGGACTGTGTAAATCTCCAAATTTACTGGTAACCGATATAATGTGTGATGGACTGAAACTCACTTCCAGAGGGAGTCAAGACATGCAAAACTAGTGGTGCATGTCTTTATCCCTCCAAATTTTAAAATCTTGAATCACAAGATAGTAACTCAAAACCACTAATATATTTAATGTTATTTTAATTTTTAGTTCTGCAACTGTTGTGTTAGGACTTTTTTGTTTTATGTTGGTTCCTCCATATTGCCTAGAACTTTTCTCTCTGCTGGTAAATTGAAATCCTTCAAGCCTTCTGACTTTACTGACAAGTGTCAGCAATATGAGTGCGAGGAAAGGGACATACTAATAACATTCTTGTATTAAGCAACTTAAATTAACCTCATTAGCATACTAGAGAAACGTATTGGAAATTGCATGGAGCAAGATTCTGCCCCAAAGACAAATAAAATATTCCCGACAAAACGGAATGAACACTTCTAGGCTGTCCGGGTGATGCCGCGGAAGCCTACGTGTACAAAACGTAATGAAGTATTACATTGTTACTTTGTATTGAAGGGTTTCAGATAGTAAGAAGGTAAATGAAAGCAAATGTTTGAAAATTGTCATAGGCTATCAAAAAACAAAACAAAACCAAAAATAGAGAACTGAGGGGCGTAGACGCTTCCGCGACCGGAGTCAGTGGCTACTTGGCTGTTCGGGAGACGCCGCGTCCTCTAAAAGCACTGGTGCCATCGTTTCGGCCGCCCCCGAACGCGTCATCTCCCGCACAGCCAAATAACCAATCTGGAGAACAATTTGTGCCGCACGCGACTATCGCCGTTACTCTACTAAACCTCGCGAGCTCCGAGGCGTTCACCCCCCCACCCATCCTCTGGAGAGTTTGAAGTGTCCTACTGAAAAAGACAGGTGTTGTGTGTTACATTTATGGGTTTCACTCTTTGAAATGTTCAAATCAAGGAAATTGGAATAGAAAACTTTTCAAAAGTGCAATTAGAATTTGTTCAGCCTGTGTGGCGAAAGTAAAGATGGTCCACGTCATTTCGACGACCTGCCTCCCTTTGAACCTCCTCTTGGAGAAAATTGCCAGTATGGATCGTGAATCAGTTGTTCGGAAAAGGGCATCGGTCACTTCTGTTTGAAAACCGCGGATTCAATTGGCGACTGCTCTTCACTGATGTATCGCCAGCGCGTGGCGTAGCTGTTCTCACGGAAACGGGTCAGTTGGTTTTCGTCGCGCGCGCAGAAGCGGACGGTCCCCACAAGGCCCGTGAACCGGATGTGCCGCCGAGTGCTTCCCACTACGTCGGAAGAACTAAAGAGCCCCAACGGGCACCACGTGCGAGGAAGGCAAGGCCCCCTGGGACACACCTTCAGGCGAGGGAAGGCGGCGTCTTTATGTGGCCAGGGCATAGGCGTGGCCCTCTTGAAAATTTAGAAAGTGGCACCGTTGTTTTGGCAAAAAAAAATGTATTTCCGTAAATACATGCAATCCATTATGTTCCCCTTTTTAACCCAACAATTATTGTTTCACACTTGATTGAAAGATTCTTCATAACTGACAATCCCGTGAACGTTCTATATAAAATCAGTTGAATTTATTGTGTCATTTCTTACTCTTCAGAAAGTTTTATTTATTTACTAACGAACCGACTTATGTAAATAAAGTTTAACTGTAAAAGGAGGGGCGGGGCGGGGCGAAGTTGGCGTCATTTTCTTGTAAAAATGCGCGGACCAAAGGCCCAGAGGGTAGTCGCAGAACGTGTTTCCTATACTTAAAGTAAATACCGTATTTGACCTATAGTCCCCGGCAATAGTGAACATGCTTCCTTTTTAATCTGACACCAGTTGGAACTTCCGTCTGCAATCAGAACCCTGGCTGCTAAATGAAATTGAAAACATTGTGTGTTTGTAATCTAGAAAAAGGGATATTTCCAATGATATGAGTGGTAGATTATTTCAAAATTTTGACATTTATTATATTTGAAAACAGATTACTGAAAACTGCCACAATAGTATGACTTTCCTTTTCAATGAAGTAAAACATTGGTTTCACTTTTTACATACATTTTTTTCCGATTTGAATTCAATAAAAGTACACTCTTGAAAACAAATACTCCTGTCATTGAACTAATGAACAATAATTGTTCGTGACAAATCTGTTTCTTAGTGTGTAGAAAAGTCGAAACGTAAAGCTATTTGTATAAACAAAATTCTCACTGAACACTACAGACAAATTGTTTCTTTCCCGAGGGTCAACACTTTGAAATCCGTTTGTAATATAGTCTTGCTACTGCTGTTTTATTTATGTCCTGAATCATTTAAATGAGCACCGACTTCCGACAGAATGAATAACTTCCGACTTCCTGGAGTTCTCGTCAATGAAACTGTTATGAAGGGCACTGTCGTACAGTTGTATTTCAAAGAATTCTGAACGCGTCCGACATATGTTAATGAAGGTTCTTCATAGTTTTACTATTTCAGAACATTGTTAATTCAGTGTATATGGAATAAGCTTGCCTTCATGCATGGATATTGCAAAATTGCTATCTGTGGAAATGCACTTACTAAAATTTTCAGTTGCTTAATACTTTGCATAATTGCACTTTGTTAAAGAATCAATGTTGTCTACCAATAAGACGCATGGAATGGAATTGGATGATTACATCAATTCATGAAGTCATGAGGACGCACGACCATTGTAATGAGTATTCACGCTTTAATCTATTGACGATTAACATCTGCAAATAATCGTAATATTAACATATTTTGACTTAGTTTATATAAATAAATACAATAATGAACAAACTAAGAAGTACTGCTTTAAGACGACCGTGAAAAAATGAACATATTGAACTGTCCTGCATTTCGTCAGATAATACTAAATTACCGTCACGTAAGTCATGCTATTATTATTCCAATGAATTACCAGATTGCAATCCCCCCCTAAAAAACGAACATCGACTTTAATAATAGACAACCTATAGGAATAAACCAAAATTTTACCGGAGGAAGGAAAATCCTTTTTGATGTTATTAATGTGCAGTTGGCTGAGTTTCGGCATTCTACACTTTCTATATAATGTTAATGTTAATGTGTCTTCTGAAAGCACCTTTTCAAAACCTCCCATGTAGCTCTTACCACATACGAAATATGGTATCACCAATGCAGTGTAAAGTCACATAGGAGTTGTTGTTGGTTTTCTTTTTTAATTTTCTACTTTAAAATCACACTCTAGTTTTCTTATCAAACGAAAGGACAAGCGAATTCTGAATCATTGATACCAAAATGTAAAATTTCGCCAATTTCGTCGCAGAGGAGGTTGTTTATCAACGATGCAATCTAGATCTGCTCCCTCCCACCCCAGCCCCGGGCGCTTCCGGTGGACCTCGAGCGGAGTCCCGGAGGGCTGCGCGGCTCCTAAAAGCCCTCGGTCGGCGCGGGGCCGCTCGGCCTTTGAGGTGGCCCGCCGGATGCGCGCCCTCTGGCGAGATCGGCCCACGCCAAGCCACACACGCAAAAGCTTTCCCTGTGCGGCGATGGGGTCTCATTAATAAAGAATCTGCGGAAATCTGCCTTGGCAATACTCTCCCCCTCCTCCACTAGCGCGCAGAACATACATAAAGGAAATCGATTTCTTGATGACCCGAAATATTTCCAAGATTTATCAGAGCAGCGAACAAAATTTCAAAATTAAGCATAAGTAACTAAATAAGTAGTTGTTAGCCCTTCCTCCCTTTGAAACGTCGTAAGAAACCAAAGCAGGTGTTTTCCTCTCTGCTTTTCCTAAGATCATTTTTTCCAATGAAAAAACACTGAGGAGGTTTCAAAAGTTCACTCTCATTTTCATTTAGTTTTTGTGTTTTGCGTCGGTACCATGAACTCATTCTTTCAGTGTTGCTTATGAAAGTTTAATGAAACAAGACTGTTAGTAAACTTCTACTTGATTCATAATGACTGCTAACAATTGTATTGTTGTGGAAGAGTAATATTAAAAAACAAAATCAAAAATATGATGAACTAACCCTTATACATTGCCTGTTGAAAATGTCTACTGAATACAGGCTAACTGATAATTGAATTATCACATTATTTAAAGTTTTTTTTGTTGTTGTTGAAAAATAAGTTCATCTTCACTGTTTCAAGGCGTTTACTTTCTTTCATCTTATTTTATGTTGGCGTAATGTCGAGCTTAGCATGATGAATATTTTTCAGAGATAATTCTTTAAAATTTAAAAGAAAGAAAAAATTGGGGCCAAATGTTAACCTTGCAGAAACAAGACAATACGTAAGATTGCTCATTGATATTGTTTTAGTAACATTTATATTTCCAATTGTTTTCCACAAAAAAGACCAATTTCATTTTGCTTTTATCAATTTGATTGAATATATCCCAGAAAAGTTGATGATTTGTTTCTTTTATTTAACCCAGTGAAACTTGTATTTTTGTGTTAAGTATTTTCTGTTTTGTTGCTTTATTTTCCATTTTATTTTCTAGGATGTGAACCTTGATGAAGACTTACTAGAAGATGACTGAGTCTCCTAAGTACCCTTAAAGTTACAAATAAGAAAATATGTATAAAAGAGATTTAACTAGTATTATTTCTGCGAAAGTGTTGAAAAGTTGCTTTTTTGTACTTGTTCAAAACACGAACAATAAGAAAATATTTTGTACATCATAGGTCACTGGTGAATACAAACGGGCGAGAGAGAGGAAAAACGTGTGTGTGTAAATAACATTCTATGATTTTTAGGAACAAACGTTTACACTGTTTAAATGTTTTCTTATGGCAGATATTTATTATGTTTTAATTGTTTTAAATTGTCTACCATTGTCAGCACTTATTTCAAAGTCCATCTCAGATTTATTTCACTTCAGTTTATGAACATTCCTGGATATTGAATTGTGAAGTGTTTTGTAAGAGAGAAAGAAATGTAATTAAATGATTTATTCACCTGGTAAATTGTATCTTTCCATTCTTTTTTTTATCCCAACCTTTTATGAAATGTCGACTCCTCATTGACCTAATCCTGTTTTATTTGAACGAGCTCATAACGGCTGCTCATGTTTGTAAGCAAAGAGTACGAAGCGCAAACTCGCTGCTCCGTCTGCGACAGCAGAGATGATGATCAGAAACATTGTGTGTGTGTGTGTGTGTGTGTGTGTGTGTGTGAATGAGGAGTGGTTGTGACGGGACGGAGAAGTGAGGAGGATGGCAGCGCAAGAGTAATTTGTAACTTATGATCTAGGAGATAACCGTTGCCACGCACAAGTCCTAAAGTTATGTAAACCGCCGGCGTATTATTGTGACACGCGTGTTTGGGAGAGGCGTGTTTTACAGCTGCGTTTGCGCGGAGATGCCTCCTCTCTCGCCGCCGCCGCTTTGTTTGGTAAACATGTGCTCGCATCCCCGCGGCGGATTCGGACGAGGCAGGTGAGGCGCGCGCAGCTTCCGAGACACCGCAACTGACTGGGGTGGATTTGGGTAACGTACGAGCGCGCATGTGGTTGTGGTTGGATGGGTGGGCGCGC